GTGTGATAAGTGCATTTATTGCACTGATCACGGCATGAACATTCTCGTAGTAGCCACCAGTTATTTAGAGCTTCCTTGATACGGAAAACCCTGATAACTCTTTAAACAAGGTTTTGCCGGGTTTATTCACATGTTTCTGGGATGGTGCTGGGGAGATGTGCAGGCTGAGAATCACGTCATCGTCGCTAAAGGTGTACCAGCTCCTAGGATATTCAATCTCAGCAAGGCCTACTTGCCATTCTCCTTTCAGGTTTATAGTTTTCGCTAACCTGGTCATATAACTAGATATGCGATTTTCAGGATAAAGTGACAAAGAAGCATTGCAGGGCAACGTGACGTAGAAACCACGGTCATCCATGGTAATCCCTTTACTCAAATGATCTCTTTCGGTAAAGGCTTGTTCGTTTTAAGGTTTTTGCAAGTCCAACAAAGCTTTTTTGTCTATATAGCTATTCAATTTTGTGGGCTATCTTAGCCATTTCACTAAAACTGGTATACAAAACTGGTATAGATCGCCCCTGTTTTTTCCTCCCCTAAAATATTTGCTTTGTTTTTGCTCACGATTATTTTTTGTAACTCTTCTTCGTAAAACACCCCATCGATGACGTCGCCATCATAATCAGAGAGTCTGTATACAGGAGGATTACGCGGGATACACGCGGCGATAGTGAAAAATGTATCGTTGTAGTTCTGTTCATAACCCTTGGCGAACGGTCCTCGCACTTTAGAAATCCTGACATCCCCTACTTTATATTTAAATACAGTGTGCTCGTTCTTCTTCATACCACCGTGCAAGTTTTGAAATACGGTACCTTCATTTTCTTTGCCGACGTCCATCGGTCTCATCTTAATACTTCTATGGTAACTGGAGTTGTACCCCTGCATAATATTCAGGATTCAAGGATTCAAAGGATTCAAAGCGTTTATTGTCATATGCCCAGTGAGGAAAACAAGTTTCCCTGAGCAATGAAATTCTTACTTTGCTGTCCACAATGAGTGCCAAGACAGTGCAAAACTATACACACACATACACAAACTATACACACATACATACATACAATGTAAGAAACATAATAATAAAAACTATGCGGTAGTAATAACAGCAATAACATTACAAATGTTCAAATGAGATGAAACAATTTGGACCGAGATTCTCTGAGATAGATAAGTCCACTAGCTAGCTACCTGTTTAAGAGTCTAATAGCTGAGGGGAAGAAGGGGTTCCTTAATCTGGAAGTCCTGCAATTTACACTCCTGTACCTCCGTCCTGAGGGTAGGAGTGTGAACAGTCTGTGTTGGGGTGTGTGGGGTCTTTAATGATGGATGCAGCTCTTCTGTAGACTATGCGATGGTAAATGGCCAGCAGAGGGCAGTGGAGTCCTGATGATCTTCTCAGCAGTCTTCACCACTCTCTGCAGCCGTTTGCGGTACCTCACTGTAGTGCTGCCATAACATGCAGTGATGCAGCTGGTCAAGACGCTCTCAACTACACAGCTGTAGAAGTTGTTGAGGATCTTAGGTGACATGCCAAACTTCCTCAGCCTCCTCAGGAAGTACAGCCGCTGTTGTGCCTTCTTAACCAGCTGGGTGGTGTTGAGAGTCCAGGTGAGGTCCTCGCTGATGTGGACCCCCAGGTATTTAAAGCTGCTCACCCTCTCCATTTCAAGCTCTCGGATAAACAGTGGCTGGTGAGTTCTTCTCTTTTTCCTCAAGTCCACTATCATTTCCTTTGTCTTGTCCGTGTTGAGGGTGAGGTTGTTGTCCTCACACCATGTCACAAGACTGACCACCTCCCAGTCATCATCTCCACCAGTGATCTGTCCTATCACTGCGGTGTCATCAGCGAACTTCAGTATTATGTTGTCCTTG